ATAAACGAAACTTTCCATTTTTAACTGCTTTTACTGAGGAACCGTTTTCATAACAATATACTTAAAGTTAGAGAACATTGAAACTGTGGAACAATGTCTAATTTGCATAGATCCAAAATAGCTGCCATTAAAGCCATTGATGTGTTCAAGCTGTGAATCTGAGACTCATGAAACTTCAAAAATACCGGGGAAAATAAAAAAATGTAAGTCTCAATTGCATTTACTGAAGGGATAGCTCCCACATTGACGCTGTGGAACAATGTATTAATAACATATTTGTTACTTAAACACAATGCATTTACAACCAATATGAGTACCACTCTCCTCCCATATAGAGCGACGGCCAGCGACATTATCTTCCGAATCAATCACCACCACGAGGTGCAGCCTCAATTCCATCATCATTACTATCAACTCCAAATATCCTCATCAGCACCATCGTCATCATCCGCACTATCGACACCATCATCGCTGCTCCCCCCTCCCCACCACCATCACCATCACCACCAACAACAGCAAAAAAATAACATCATCACCATTGCCAATACCCCAGGATCACTACTACTATAACTACTGCCGCTAATACTACTACTTCTTCTGCTACTTCTACTACTTCAAGTAATACTGCTTCTACTATTAATGCTACTACTACTATTACCACTAATACAATAAACGTTACGTGTATTACTACCACTGCAACTCCTGCTGCTGCTGCTCCTCCAACTACTGTGTGTGTGTGTGTGTGTTTTGGGTTTTACAGACGTGTATCAATCAGATATGATTATTTACGTCTGGGGACCGACTTTGAACGTCACCATCCGAAAGACGTGACTCAGTTTCGAACCTGCGTCCTCGGCTGAATCAGTTTGTAACTTCCACTGTTAGCTGGATTACAGGCGCACGCCACAAGTACTACTATTACTCCTAATACTACTTCAACATCAAATTATTACTGCTGATGCTGCTACTTCTATGAAAGTTAATATAACACCAGGAGAAAAAAAAAAGATCTATGTATCATGTTTCCAATTTGTATTGATCTCGGTTCTAAACGACTGATAAAACACTATTTAACAATTTCAAGTATCTCGATAAAAAGATATGACAGGCATATTATCGTTTGTGATGTGACGTGGTTCTTTAATGTCGGGAAGAGGATGAAGGTAGTGGGTGTGCGACGATTCGCATGATTTGCTTATCTAATTGAAGATAGAGTCAGGAGATATAACCATGAATGTCACAGGCCATGACGAGAGAGAGAGAGAGAGGGGGGAGGGAGAGAGAGAGAGAGAGGTGAATATAACGGAGATATCATATACATTATATATCATGCATATATACATGCATATATATAAAGACGTAATGTATGTCGAAAATTCGTGAATTAATACAAACTGTTTGATTTAAAGTACGAATCTTCTGTTCTCCATCATTTAATGGGTTATTTTGTATATCGGAACACTTTTGATAGATCTGTATTTAAGAATATTTCAAACCTAGACAAATGTGCCCAGGCGCGTACACAGGGGGGGGGGGGGGGGGGGGGGGGGGAGGGGGGGGTTGAACCCCCCCTCCCTTTGGTATTTTTATGTGTGTAAACCCCCCTAAAACCCCCTAAAACCGACCCTTTGGTGTTTTTTTTTGGTGTTTTTTTTTTAATTATAAAAAAATTATAAAATTATGCCCATGGTTGACCTAAAAAAGGTGACCTCCCCCCCAACTAAAACAAAATGTCAAATTTCCAAATTTCGAGACCCCCCCCCCAATCATAATCAATGTAAACTACATTTGTGGTGAATGTATGCTCAATTATAAACAGCGGCAATAAGGCAAACGAGCCAAGTTTGTATCCATGGTTACGAGCACAGACACGCACTGTGTCACCCGACTAGCATGTTCAGACTCAATGAATGACAATCTGCTATCACTCAATGTACGTTACCTTCTATGTGTATATTGTTCATGTTCTATATAATATTGTATAATTTCGTCAGCCGGTTTTTAAATGAGTTCCATACTAGATATATTCTAGTTCACCGATACATTTTGTCTGTTCTACCGTTCTATACATGTTTTAGTATAGAAGGCAAAATGCTATACGTAATTGTACTTATTGATAAGTAGTTCGAGATATCCTTCAATGACTAACTCTCTTCTTAAATCTTCCAGTAACTAGTGCTAATGTGTCATGGGCGTTTCCAACACATTTCCTTTCCGTTTTTTCGCCTCCTGCTTCGATTTGAATTTATTTACTGTACTCTTTCATTTACCTTTTGTTTACCATAATGCCAGTGAGCAGGAAATGAGTACGAAATTCTGTTGCAATTTCAATTATACTAAACACGTATAAAGAAACTTATCTTAACAAGACTAATTGACACGACAGTTATCCAATCATCAGTGAGTACTCACGGATAAGCCCCGCCCAGTTATGCGGACGAGTTCCCTTTCGAAACGATGCTTAACATTCGTTTCAGTATACGACGTTTGTTTACATGACCTTCATACCATTACAACATTGCTTAATTGGTGAACCGATATACGATTCTTATACAATAAAGGTTGGTAGTGTAAATGAGGGGTAAGGGTGCGGGGAACAGCATGCAGCGATGGAAAGGGTATCATGCTGTTGAATTATTGACGGTCAATCAAGCGAGCGGTGTTAACAAGACCTAAATGAGACCTGATGAATCGACTATGATTTAATCATGACCTGAAAAGGCTTCTAGCTCGGCCTCAAGAAAGGTGTAACCGGTCGCTTCTGACAAAATTATGATAAAATTTACTATGGTCTTCTTTGCGTTAGGAGGATAATATATAGGACAGAGCATTCATCAAATTTTAACAAAGCACCTTTAATAATCTTTGACAGGAAAAACTATGAATAGATATAGAGTATAGATGAGAGAAATGAAGAGAAAAGGAGCTGAGGATGATGTTTAAAGGTGAGGTTTAAAGATGTAGACATAGCAGATGAGGAGAAGAATAATAATAATAGTAAGACGAAGAAGGAATGGAAAAAGACAAGAAGTGGCAGAAGAAGATGGAATAATAATAAAGACAAAAAAAAAAGAAGAACAAGATGAAGATCACAAAGAAAAATATAAAGATGAGATGATGATGATGATGATGATGATGATGACAAAGAAGACAAGTAAGAGGAAAAAATATTAGTGTTTATCGTGCTTTTTTGTTGTTGCTGTTGGAGGAATAGTAATCAATTACTTCTCTTTCAAATTTACATCTCAATTTTCGCACTATTCCGCTATCTTTGTCCCTACTTAAAAGTATAACAAAAGTCTCTTTCAGCTATTTTATTATGTTTGCGAGGTTATTATCATTATCATTATTAATTTATTTGGCATTTTTTATAACAAATAACAGACAAATATAATATAAACAGACAGGTTGGCAGCGATGGAGCTCCATGACACAAAGCCTAAAGATAAAAAGGGATTTCAATCCGCATGTTCGAAGAGATAAGTGCGATCGCTACAAATTGAATTCAGTCTAGCTTAAACCATGAAAGAAAAAATGCCGCGAAGGATATGGTTAACGCGTAGAAATCCTGCTCAGCTGCGTGAAATCCATTATGCCCTCCTACATACAGGACGGATTCAAATGCTATTCTACAATGCATCAAACTTATTTAATCTGGATTTTTTTTTTAATCTTCAGATGAGTTTAAAGGTACTATGTCCCATTTGCAGGCCAAAAAAGTGAAAAAGTTAAATTCCAACTGCATTTGAAAGATAATACTAATTTAGAACTTCCCTAAAAAAGGTGGGGCTTGAAAATGTCTTCAAGTGGGAAAAAAACGAATATTGGTTGTCAAATCGACTTTAGGGCTATACACACTTAAAATAGTTGGGCAAAAAAATGCCCAACTTTTAACCAACACTGAGCAACATACGGTCCACACAACTATTGGTTAAAATCTGCCCAACTGATGTTGGGTAATCAGTTTGCTATGTGGTTGGGCAAATTAAATTGCCCATCAGTTGGTGACCCATCATATTTTACCCAACTCTACAATTGCCTAACAGTTGGTTATATTTTCAGTTGGGTAATTTCTTGCCCAACCAATTTTACCCAGTTAGATATTGCCCAACCTTCTATTTGCCCAACTTTTGAGTAAGTTTAATGTTGGTTAATTAAATGCCCAACCAGTTTTTACCCAACTCCCAGTTTGCCCAACTATCAAAACACCCATCTATTGGGTAATAATTGCTCAACAATTTCTCTGCAACATCCATTTGCCCAACTCTCAAAACACCCATCTATTGAGTAATAATTGCTCAACAATTTCTCCACAATATCCATTTGCCCAACTATCAAAACACCCATCTATTGGGTAATAATTGCTCAACTATTTCTCCACAATATCCATTTGCCCAACTATCAAAACACCCATCTATTGGGTTATAATTGCTCAACTATTTCTCCACAATATCCATTTGCCCAACTCTCAAAACACCCATCTATTGGGTAATAATTGCTCAACAATTTCTTCGCAATATCCAGTTGCCCAACTCTCAAAACACCCATCTATTGGGTAATAATTGCTCAACAATTTCTCCGCAATATCCATTTGCCCAACTCTCAAAACAACCATCTATTGGATAATAATTGCTCAACAATTTCTCCGCAATATCCATTTGCCCAACTCTCAAAACACCCATCTATTGGGTAATAATTGCTCAACTATTTCTCCACAATATCCATTTGCCCAACTATCAAAACACCCATCTATTGGGTAATAATTGCTCAACTATTTCTCCACAATATCCATTTGCCCAACTATCAAAACAACCATCTATTGGGTAATAATTGCTCAACTATTTCTCCACAATATCCATTTGCCCAACTCTTTAATTCGTCTGTTGGATAATCATTGCTCAACATTTTTTCCATAACATCTATTTGCTCAACTCTTTTTCTCATCTAAAGGGTAATAATTGCTTAACTGAAACACAAATAACATACACAGTAAACACATGTTGTTGTTTTCATCAGAAACGTAAAAACAAAACTTGTTAACATCAACTACAACATTACAATTTTTGGTGAAAAAAATACAATCTTTTAAAAAAAGTAAATGCAAATATAGCCCCTTTTGGTGCAGCATGACAACTTTGATGTACACTGTATGTATCCCATGTACTCTGATTTCATACATGAATATGTGCATCATATATATTTTGTGGGTGTGGCATAGTGTTCATTTATCCTGACACACCAATACTCTGCCTTAGAGTGTTACACATGCACACATTTTTTTGAAGTGAAAACAAAAGAGGAAATAAATTCAAATCCCTCTAGATTATTTGACATGTGCAGAAGTACCACATGAAAGTTTGGCTATCTGTGATGGTGAACAGGTACTGATCAAATAACAAGGATACACACTGCCTACTATAACTTTTTGATTAGATTAAAGACAACAAAAATCAATTGACCCTACCTGCTATACTCAGTTTGATTGATTTTATTGATATTATCAATAATATCAATACAATTTTGCAAAATGTAGATGAAAATGTTGACTTCTCTACTTCTGCTTTGCGCGATGTAAATTAATGCATGCAGTCCATTCAGCAGAGAGTTCAGCGTAGGGTCAATGGACGATACACATTACATGAAAATTAATGGTATATGTAATTTACAATCATATACCCCACTTGCTGTTTTAAACGCAGAAAATATCATAGCTCATGTTTTATGAAGAAATATATCATTTTGATGTACGAGTTATGAAACAGTACTCTTGGGATTAAAACCAAACACGATAAGCATTTGTATACGCCAGTGCAAAAGATTTATAGCCAATAATATGTTTTGTATTTATACTTGGCATATATTCATTTGTTTTCTTAAACTTTCAAGGTGGGGATGTTAAGCAATGATTGGGATAAAACAATTAGGCCTTTATCATTTTTAAAATGTACACAAAGACTTCTGCTGTGTATAAATTCACTCTTTTTTTTATATTATTCAGCGATCCTCACCCCACCCTCAAATCTTCAGTCTTACACAAACATGTATAAATTATGTAAAATAATGTGCTGAATCCAACTCATAACAGTTTGTCTTTAAGGTTATTTTGTCCAAAATAATACTTTTTTCCAGTTTTTTTTCTCCCAAAATAAACTGGTTCAAGTAGCCAAAATGTGCTAAACGATGATGTGTCAGTTTCATCTGTAGGAAATATATCACCAGTAATCATCCTTGGCGTGAACACATCATGATGGCTTATGGCATGTTCATGAAGGCTCGGACCTCCCGCAGCTTTGGTGTAAGATGCTCCCCATCGGTAAACTGGAACACCACAATCTGGAGAAATTTCCAAACAGAACAGCTTTGCGGCTGATATTCGATATCCATCACATAAAGTGCCTTAAAGCACAAGTCGACTGCTTTAAGCAGTGTTGCGGCAGGAAGTATCCTCCTCTCTACTACGACGTACGTCTGTATTGGTGTGAGAATGTTCCCACGCACAACAACAAATGGCTGTGACCTGACTGCTTCATCAATGTTATCAACATAAGTCTGGATGTCGAGAACCTCCTGTAGTCCAAAGAGAAATCAAGAAGAAATCATTTGTAATTATATGGATTGATATATATATATTTGATGCTTGTCGAATGCTTCTGCTTATGAATCCACAATCACCTACAGGACACCCAAATTTGTTTATGCATGTTCATCCCTGTCCCATCAAAACATTACTGGGTATTCTTAAATATCCCTGCGGCAAAGGTCAACTGTACCCAAACTGGTCACGTTCAGAGCATTACATCAACTAAGCTGGAAGGCATATACAGCCTGTTAATATAAGCATGCATTTTTCACATGTCATTTGCAAGTTAAAGGACTTGCTTGCATTCATGAGTGAAATGCGATGTGATGACAAATCTGAGGCCATTTGTAGTTGTACCACAGATAATGACGAACTGACTTATTAAGATTAAAGCGCCTAGTGTTGCCCCTGCAGGGCCTCCTTGGGGACCAGCGTGCCCATTACTAGGAACTTGAAAATGGTTGCTTTTCAAGTTTTACACAAATAAAATGTTATGGCAATGCCTTATCTGGTAAGAACATAGGTATTGCATTTCAACCTCAATTTCATCAGTTGTCCTAGGTTTGAAACTCTTAACAAATTAACTATTGAATTTGTTTGTAATGAAATATGATTACTATGGCAAGATTTTAAACACAAACCAAAATATATGCCTTACATGTCATTACTTTACCACCTCCCCAGCACATATACTTACTGGTTGAACGTCAATGAAGGACGACAATGTTTCTGCAGTGGTGTACGTTCCTCTCTTGGAATCTTTCCTTCCTCGGAACAAGACTGGGAGCATGTAGAATCCAAGATTGCTCTTTTCCTCTAAAAAGAGGGAAACAATGAAAGAGTTAAGTAATTAAGTCCCAATTACATATGAAGAAAAGGTGCAACAGCAAACAGGTCAATTATGGAACATCTTACAAAATGTACAGTTATATACAGCAAATTAAAAAAAAACGGTCGAATACAACAATTATTTTCTACAAATATGGGTAAAATCACTCAACGTAAATGTCAGTCAGTAATTTGGAGCTCAGCTTTCTTAGTAAAGAAATCAAAATTGCACAAACTTCAGCATAGCCTTCCCAATGAGCTTTAAACCACCATCCCCACCCCAAAAAGCAAACAAACAAAACAAGCAAGTAAAAGTATGCTAAACCTTTGTCATGGAATCATGTTTTTATCATATGTTGTACATGTATTATATGTTTCAGAGCACTTTTATTTATTTCAGTTCAATTCCTTACAGGGGGGATATTAGACTCAATGTTTGGTCCTGGCCACAAAAATAAACATCATATAGTGTAATTGAAATAAATTCTTTTGACTTTCTCTCAAGTCATTTTCACTAATACTGTCAAATGTGTATTCTGACACCACATACCAAGACTGAGTTTCCCAGGGTCATGAATGTTTTCGAATTCGGCTCTTGCACTTCTCCAGTTGCCAGTTTTCTCGGTGAAGTCCACTACTTTGTTACAGAATGTGGGCCACTTCTGGTACAGTGCGTTTGCTTTCTCTGGGAACAATTCTGCAAAATCTCCTTCAATCTGTAATTGTTAGGATAGTTATAGAAGCCAGATGAAAGGTAGGATATCTTTCATTTGCATCTTCTCTTTACCATTTTGCAAGGATTTGAATGGTACACACTAACAATTATCGGTTCAATAGGGATGCACGATTTCTGTAGGACCGTGTATCTCAGATTGTTAAACGATCCCTTTAAGGAGACTGCTAAAGTAAACCTGCCCATGCAACCAAAAAACAAAAAAGTTACTTCTCAAAACATGCGACTCTAGTTTAATTTAATGTCCTTTCTTGTCACATGCAGAAGAAAAATCAAGGTCCACATACCATTCCAGCATCGAGAAGTCTGGGATATGTGGTAAGAATGTTCTTCACACAACAGTCACTTCTCTTGATCCAGTCATGTCTTTTTGTTGCTGTTTGTTTCATGTAGTCCTTCACCATGTCCTCTGGCTCCTTGTTGTTACGCAGCCATTCTTCCATTGTCGTGATGTTATCATCGTTCACAGACTCAAGATCAGTATCTCCTGGATATAATGCAACAGAACAATCAACAATTAGCATGTATCAACAAGTTTTTGATGATTGTATTGGAAGGGGGGTTTTAGTTGGCATTGCTCATGCCCCACCAGTTTGTTATGGCACAGCATGACTTCATCAGACGGATCTGAATAACTCATAACTTTAACTATATGAAAAAGTAGCCAGAATACCTTGCTTTTGAGACTCTGCCTCGTCTTCAGCTACTGGTACCCTCAGGGACTTCTCCTTTTTTCTGACATACCTCAGATGCTCCTCCAGGTAGCCTGTTGCTGGCCGTCCCTTGGCCCCCACGCAGTACCAGGCCTCCTGCTCAAATAAATTAAAATTCCTTCATAATTCAACTTCAAAAACAGAAATGCTCAACAACATTTGTTAAACATTAATAATAATCAAATAAAAGCACAATAAAATTCCAGTGTAAACTGTACATTTACATATTTTGTTACATATGTCAGTGTTTGCAATAACAAGGTTTGTCCTCTTAAGTACCTATTTCTAACTGCACACTGTTATATTCCAGCAATGTCATCAAGTCATTGCAAAAACAAAGTGAATGATGGATAATTCTGTGAATATCCATTACTCAATGGCATGCAGACAAAAGTCTAAATATTAAGAGATGTGTCATTACTGGATAATATAACTTATAAACAAGTGGTAAAAATAAACAAAAATATTGCACGATTTAGTGATTGATGCCATATTAGCTTTTCATTATTTGTAAGCTTTTCAGGCCTGTCTACTGTCAAATTTACTATTGCCAAAGATGCTCTTATAATGCTTGTGATAATGTGATACAACATGCAATTGATTGAGCATCTCCAATATAATAAATACAAGAATAACAAAATTGAGGAAGCTTCATAGCAAGTTACACAAAATAATATGATCCAGTATTCCAAAAGTTATTGCATAAACACATAATTTATTTGATTTAGACCTTAAAGTAGCTTATTGCTTCTGGCTCAAACAGAAACTTCTCATAAAATTTCACTTTCTTGTAAATGGGGTCTATGGGGTAGGGACAGATGGAGGTATGGATGGACAACCTAAGAATTAAGGCACCTCCAAGTAATAAATGCCCGCTGTGGTAAGAATCAATCCATAAATCAGTCCAGAAAAAAGTGGTGATCTGAGCCATACCTGAGGTCACATATATTAAGGAAAGCAATTCATGGACAGGACTTACATAGCCAAGTGGAGATTCTGGATCTTTTAAGAAAGGAAAGCTTGTCACAATGGCATGGGCCATTGATGCCTTCACAAATGAGCTTGGCTTGGTACCATACTCCCGTATCAGGTACTGAGTCAACATATCCACAACAGTATGCCGGTCCCTTTTGCTGCAGAGATTTGTAGCATTGATGTTCCTTAATGCTGCTCTTCCCATGGTGGTCTCTCTCAATATACAAGCAATGTTCTGCAACAGATAAAGGATTTTTTTTTTAAAGATCAGTAAATTCAGAATAAACAAGTGAAATGTGACAGCATGCAGTCGGTGGGTATATCTCTGGCTGTCCGACCTCCTACAATAAGCCCATCATAAATCACTCACTGGGCATTCCTTGCAAACTTTGTTCTGATAAAAAATTTCAATGAAACCTTGAAACTGACCTTAGACTAGCTTAAAACCCATAACCCCAACCAAACATTTTCCATAACATTCCTTTATTCATTCATACCAAAATGTACCTACCAAATCATATCACTAGCCATTCTGCAGATGTAGAAATAAAATGGTATTTTTAGTAAAAACTTGAATAACCTTTGAACTGACCTTTCACCTTTGAGCCCTGCTGCTTGTCAGAAATACTGACAGACAGATAACTCCAAGACATAATGCCTCCGGCACCCTTATGTGTTGGAGGCATAAAAACTGATGAATGATGGTGACTCGACATGCCCACTCTTCAATTGTATCAGCCCACTATATACATAAACTTACGAAATGCACTTTCTTGACCCGTTTCAGGGGAGGATGTTGATCAGGACTCTTGGATTCTGGGGAGTCGTAAAGTGGCGTATCCAAACTGGGCTGGGAAGGGCTTTGTCTGGGACTCCACTCACTTCCTGTTACACAAGAGAGATCTGAGCAGTCATCTAAGGAGAACACTGATGGGCTTCTTGTCGACGTTGATGCTTGTTCCATGCTTTGTTGATTTGCAGCATGATACTACAATAAATAAATGAAAAATAATTGAACTTTCAATGTACATGTAAATGACTGATTATTTTTTACATTATTAATGACACAAACAGCCCCAGGTTAGACTTTAGTATCAAGTTTATTCCTTGAAGGGGAAAATCATTCTCACTGTTTCTGTACCCTTGTCCTATTTAAAGCAAACCCATAATTGAAAAGTGGTCACTCATGAGCCGAAGCTTCTTCAGTACATCTATAATATAATAATATCCAGTTAGGAACTTTCACTTTAGGCAGGAACATGCATTGGTAAAAAATAGCACATTTCCGGGGCCTCAATGAAGTACATATGCTAGAAAAACTTGGCATGAGTCATGGTACATTTAAGAAATTACAACATAATATGAATGAATGCAAATATAACAGACACATTTTCAGATACAGAAACAATGAAGTTAATAACGAGTTAAAAAATTCAAACCAGATATTTACTGTAAAATTTTCATTGGAATAATCAAAATTTGTTAGCAAGTCAGTACAGATCGATCAAGGTTAGCTTCTTAGCTATTTTTTCAATCAAAATGTGTAGAATGATACACTAAGAACTGATTCATAGATATAATTGTAATTGGAATAACAGTTTCTTTCTTTTGCTTTGTTTTGGTTCTGTTCTCTAAGACAAAATTTGCAAGTGCACCTGTAATGTCTAGTTGTAAAAATATATCACTTGCTTGCAACGGGTTGCCTACACGTACCTTCTTGTTCCTAGATGAATGAATGGTGCACCACAATATACAAGCAGCGCCCTCTTCCACTATAGGACTGGACAGCATTGACTGGCCTGTGATCAAACAGGTCACACCATTCAACAGCAGCTTGTGCTTCCTCTCTGCCCACCTGTACTGCAAATGCTTCAACATGTCTGTTGAAGTACAAGGTCTGATACAGCCGAAGGAGCAGATACAACTTTTCTTGCACCACTACAATATGCTGAACACGTCCAAACGTGGGTCCATCATCATCAGTCCAATATAGAAGTACATCAACACCTGCCCGGAACTCATATCCATGAATGTCCACTTTCCCAGCAACTGTAACTTCGGTTCCCCTTCCACAGTTAATTTTTTTGCAAAGTGCCTCATCATCAAGTAGATCACCAAGCATTGCTGCAGCTTGCTGTGACACATTGATATCTTGGCTATCCAGTGACTGATTTGATACTGACCTGTAGCACCGTGCCATTTGGTATCTGTTAGCCAATGTTTTGACAATGTTTTGGTAGTTGCAAGATACACTGGCAATCTGCTTGAAAGGTCTGTGCATTGCTTCAAAACGCAATGCTGAATACTGGGTCAGTGGCCCAAGGTGTTTCAGTGCACGTGGGTAATGCACAAGAAAGTGCTGCTTCGGAGTTAGACTAGCTTCAGGGAAGAGCTGCATGAAGAGCCTGTGGTGATCATCAATCATTGCCTTCAGGACATAGATGGCAGACTTACTGATACTGGGACTCATAACGATTTTGAAGATGTCAATGATTGACAGTAAGAGTTCCCACTCATCACACATCTCATCAATCTTGTCTCCTAACATGAGAGGGATGTTGTATGCAAGGCACGTCATCTGTGCTGATGTCTGCATGTCCACTGGCAGAATATGGATTCTTCAGTGATGCCTGCCTGATTGGGCTTGGTCTGTTTTTGCGGTCCACAAAGCCAAAATTGAATGAGGATATTCTACTGTTCACCTCATCCAGTGTTATGAAACCCTTCTGAACAAGTTTACTCAAAACAAGGTGCATTTCCAGGGGCAAGACTCCCTCTGTAAAATCATGCATTACATCTGGACATAAGTTTTGGGTGGAATGGTAGTAAGGCAATTAATTCAAAACTGTTGCATGCTTCAAGCCAGATTCTGACAAGGGCTTTTGAAGATCTGTATCATAGTTTATTTCATCACGGAGATATTGGGCATCCTCTTTTGGCTGTTTCTGAAGCAACGAGCGATGGCCTCTACAGAATCTACAGTAATAGTTGGCACGGAAACAGGTTGTACATCCCAGCATGGCATGAATGCCAAGATTGTCCCCTACAACTTGGAATAAGTAGGGTTTGACCCTACCCTCAAACTCTTTGCACTTGATAGTGAGTCCATCAGTCCACATCTGCTGCAGATCATCCTTGATTACCTTCAAAACTTCTGAGATGCCATATTTACTCAAAAGCGGAGATGTGATCATAGCTGTGAGCATGATATTTTCCAGCCTAGCCTGGTATTTCCTGGGAAGGGATAACGCACTTGTATAAAAGGCACTTACCTTGTGTTTGCCGCGTTTTGACCCAAGCGGATTGGCTGTCTCAAACTCATCATTGTACAACAACAGAGGCACTAAGAATTCACAGTCTTGTCTAGCAGTAGCTTCCTGCCTTTTATAATAGTGACCATCTTTGAATGAATACAAAACATCATTATCTTTTGATCCTTTTTGAGACAGTATGGCGTTCATTACTCCTGGTCGCTCTAAGTATTGTTTAATAGTGTCAGCTAGTGGTATATATTGAAAGGTTTCTTTTTGTGTGCTTTGCAGTGGATCACCTGTCTTTTGATCAATTTTTGGTTTTAAGCAAGTTCCCAACAACACCTCACAAGGCTGAATGAAATCACCTTTCTCAGAGAAATATTTTTTCTGTTGAGTATCTGACATGAGCTCTGAAAATGGATTCTTTGAATTCTCGAATACATCTTGTATATCAGATCTCAGCTCACTGTTAGCTGCATATTGTGGCTCACTTAAGATATCCATCACATCCTGTTGCACAGTTTGTAACACAGAAATAACCAAATCTTGTGCGGTTTGAATGACCTTGTTGGTGTGTGAAGCAGGCACATTAGTCCTTGCCCTGAGTTCTGCTACAAACTTTGCTGCAATATCAGGTAGTCTCTCTGTTTGCGTTTCAAAAGAGACATCTTCCTGCTCACTGCTTTCTCCAACAAACAATGCCTTTTCCTGGTGCAGTTGTTCCAAATTCCCTTCAGTGTTGTTATTCTTTCCTAGAACAGATCCTTCATAACAGGTTTCACTTTGGTGATCTGGAACTGCTTTTGTAGTTGTGCTTGACGTCTTTATCCGTGCAGCGTGCTTTGAAATGAGATGTTTTCTATATCCCGATAATGTACGAAATGTTAGTCTACATGCCCCTTGCATGCATGTTATACTTACATTTTTTCCCCTGGTTGTTGTATGTGTGTATTTTAAATGATGGAATAGGCAAGAAATATCCCCCCTAATTAAATCAAGACACTGAAAGCATCTGTAACTATCCATAGTGAGATATTGTGCCACATCTAGGGCCTACCTCTGCACGCCACCCAGCGAGAAACTTCAATCGAGGTCCAATCTTGGGTATGAAGGATGTGATTATACTTTCACTTAGAAGGGGAAGGGTTTCCACATCAACTTCATTTTCTGGAGAAGAAGAGGGAGAGATTGATAAATAAGGCTTAGTGCAGCATAAACTGATTGTTTTCATATAATACCACAAACACACGTATGGTTGCGCAAATTAAACAAAAGTATATGTTTTAGATAATGATAAGCTGTAAACATTTGCTCATGTTCCAGCTAAAATATCTTCCATTTTGAATAAATCGCATAATCAATGTTTTCTTATTCCACAAGGGTCTATGAAAATCTGAATTTTCAAATGCGATTTTCTCGAAAATTTGGTCTTCGTATAGAAAACTTACTTTTAGATCATACTAGCGAATTGTATCAACTAATTGCTATTTATTTTCAGGTGATGTTATTAACATCCACACAATCAAATTAAGAATGGAAACCTTTTCTAAAGTCATACTAGTAATCACCTTAGTTTAGTCAAATTGTGCCTAATTTTTAACAATGTAGGGGCCTATTTAAAGTATAAAGATTAGTTGCATCAGCAATGAATTTGATTTCAAAGAAAGTCATTCAACTTACCAAATGAATCAGAATGATTTGAGAGTTAGCATAGAGGTCAATGTATGCTGATTGGTTAATTAACATTACTAATTCATTGATAATCATATGTGTCTTCTCCATGTGCACTGTCATGCCTATTACTTCAACTTTAAACTGCCATACCGGTAATTGTTTTTTTCAACCTTTTGCGGCTGCCATGATATTGTCTGCATTAGTAGCCATGTTTCTCAGCTTTAGTATGACAAATAACCTAGCTATATCTGACCAGGGTTTCTCAAAAAGTCTAGCACTCAAGCCTTTCACAGGCCACTTACAGTACCATACAACCATATATAAATTATAGTGTGTTACCTTGAATAGAGGCAACTGACAATTGTTTATCCTAGAAAAGATAATTTGTGGTGTTTAATAATTCTTTTGTACAGCTTATTGTTCAGTGGTGTGAAACATTAAAAAAAATGCATGTGCTGGAACATTTCACTGATATGAAGCAAAATAGGACAGTTAATCCTGTACTAACGAATGTCCTTCCTCCATGTGCACCTCCATCCCAAAATCGAATCGGTTCGTTGGCTTTGCAACTTGCAAGATACATGTACATGTCCCAAGTTTGGATGGTAATCCGTCCATCGGTTCTAATGATTTCATTGAAATCTGGACATGTAGTAAAATAGTGTACAATTTTGTGGGCATAATTTGGTGGCTTAAGCATCTGTAATTTTTCCATATTTAAAAATTATTTTCAGAAAAAGATTTGTTTAAATGAGAAAAAATGTACCCATGTTAAAAATTGTGCCCATTCGTGTACTACAGCGAGGTCACTGCAATTTCGAAAACCACCACAGCCTCTTGGTTTTGAATTAGGCTATTAATATGGGCTAAAATGTGGGTCAACTGCCTTTTAGTTGTGACAAGGAATATCGCAATAGCACATAATTAATAGCCCCATTTAAAACCAAGAGGATGTAGAGTCTATGCTCTGTAAAACAAAGTTAGGCAGATGTTACTGGGCAAATCAAAGTTTGGCGCGTTTTTGTCAAATAATTTCTCCCAACCATTTACTGTATGAAGTTACCTAATAAAAGGTCAGAAATAAGTTGGGTAGGTGTTACTTGGTAAAACTGATGTTGGGCAAATTTTGTCCAACAATTGGGTTATTTTCTACCAACCATGTAGTTACCGATGAAATAATTGGGTAATATTTTTGGGCAAATTAAAGTTGGTCATTTTTGTCCAATAATTGGGTTATTTTCTACCAACCATGTAGTTACTGATGAAATAATTTGCCCAACTAGTGTCGAATATACTACACATTATGGTGAGAATTGGGTGAATTTCCTATTGGGGTAAATTTTGTTGGTTAAAAGTTGGGTATTTTCTTTTCATCCAACACTGGGTAAATCATGCAAAATCTTTAATTTACCCAATAGTTAGTCGGACACATAAGTGCCCTCATGTTGGGTAAAAATTGGGCACTTGCCCAACATTTTTTTAGAGTGTTTGGATTTCAAAGTCCTGTAGAAAATGAAAGGGCAAAATCCTTAACATGGCAATGGGCAAGAAAAATTGTCTCACTTTTTGAAATCTAGACTTCTAGATCTACAGGAAAATGAAAGATGATCTTCCACAAAATAATGTTCATAAAATTGTACATTATTTGACAACTTCAATTTTCTGATGAATCATTCAGTTCAGTGTTGATTATTAAATATAAGTAGGCCTAGATCTAGATCTAGACCTAGACTAGATCTAGTAATAGTAATACCAATTTCAGATAACAGAGATAATTGTTCAAAATTACACCAGTCCCACGTACTGTAATACTATCTGGGTACACACCTACAAGTATGTGGTCCAATGTATTGGACCCACAGAACTCTTAAATACGTATTTAAGAGTTCTGTGATTGGACCCCATACAGCCCATGATCCATAGAAAATGGAGGGTATTGTGTTATGTATGTATTGTAGCAGGAAACAGCACAGAAATCCGGGTTTTGGCCTTTGGGTTTTGTAAAATCTTGAACAAAATATTTTTAAATATTCATTTGTGATCTAAAATTCATGGAAACAGTACAATTTGAATTTGATATCTATATCAATCAAATATTAGTTTGGATTAGTAACACATGCATTAAAAGAGCAAATTTGAGGCAAAGTTTAATAGACCAATTGAATTGAAGCGTATTCATTAACCATTGCTGAGGCATATAGAACTAGTCTACATGTTGCCCATGTGTTATGGATATGGGAACAAGTCTACAGCAAGTACCTGTTGATCATGTTCTAAACTTCTAATCTCAATAAGATGTGAACGTACCTTCTAGTATCTTTAACACTGACGGACATCCCCACCTTTGAACGATTTTGGTGAGAGGGTCTATGAACCCATCTTCACTTGAACTATCTCCGCAGCAGTTGTCGAGCTCCATTTTTAGACCCTCAGGCTCTAGCATGCAAGACTCCGATATGATGCGTATACGTACGTACGTACAGGCTGCTAGTTACGTTGGTGTATCATATAGCTCGAGCTCCCGGGCCGGGACGGCCGCGCCGGCTATACCGAGTAAATAGAAATAGTACTGCGCATGGCATGCTGATCGCGAGCGACCAGGCCATGTGCGCGCTACCCCAAGACCAATACCAGGCAAACTTTACCCAAGTCTGGTTAAACGTAAGTCTAGTCCCCATCGAAGGTTTCCACTGCCATTTACGCATGCGCATAATTGACGATGATAGCGTGTACGTTCCATTAATATTATTAACGTAGATTATGTAACTCTATAGGCCTACATGGTTAAGATGGCTCAGTTTTCACAAAAGATAAATCTTGGACTCTTTCAGCATCAAACTCGCACAAATTCATCGTCGCTTCAACACTCTGTTATTATAATTTTAAAATAGAAGTAAATGGTTACAATTACAGGAGAGATAATTTCAATTTTTCATAGCAATATTTACACAGCATATTGTGAGCTAAAGAAAATTGAGCTAAATATATTTGGTAAAAGGCGGTGGTCAATTACTACCCTATATAAGCAAACAAAAAAAGGCGCAAAGTGAAATTGGGTAACAGGCGTTGGTCAAATAGTACCCAATGTATGAGCAAACAAAAATTGAGCAAAGTAAAATTCGGTAAGTGGTGATGGGTAATTATTACTCAGCATATGAGCAAACACAAATATGGGCAAAATAAATTGGGTAAGGGGCGGTGGTCAATTATTACCCAATTATGAGCAAACAAAAATTTGAGCAAAGTAAAATCGGGTAAGTGGTGATGGGTAATTATTACTCAGCATATGAGCAAACAAAAATTTGGGCAAAGTAAAATTGGGTAAGAGGCGGTGGTCATTTATTACCCAATATATGAGCAAACAAAAATTTGAGCAAAGTAAAATCGGGTAAGTGGTGATGGGTAATTATTACTCAGCATAAGAGCAAACAAAAATTTGGGCAAAGTAAAATTGGGTAAGAGGCGGTGGTCATTTATTACCCAATATATGAGCAAACAAAAATTTGAGCAAAGTAAAATTGGGTAAGTGGTGATGGGTAATTATTACTCAGCATAATTATGAGCAAACAAAAATTTGAGCAAAGAAAAATTGGGTAAGAGGCGGTGGTCAAATATTACCCAATATATGAGCAAACAAAAATTTGAGCAAAGTAAAATTGGGTAAGAGGCGGTGGTCATTTATTACCCAATATATGAGCAAACAAAAATTTGAGCAAAGTAAAATTGGGTAAGAGGCGGTGGTCAATTATTACCCAAATATGAGCAAACAAAATTTGAGCAAAGTCAAATTGGGTAAGTGGTGATGAGTAATATTCCTCAGCATCTAACAATTACCCAACTACTTGGTAAATTGCTCTCAACTCCTTGGAACGATGTTGTTGCTAAATGTATAATAATTGGGTAAATATAATGCCCTGAAATAGATTGGGATAAAAATTACCCAACTTTGGAAACGATTTCTCGACCAACCATCAGTTGCCCAACGAAATTTACCCAACTCGCAGTGGGAATGTGCCAAAATTACACAACTACAGGCAAAAATTACTCGATCCTAATTTGCAAAATAATGTTGGTAAATTTCTAGGCGAATTTCTACCCAACCATCAGTTGCCCAACAAAATTTACCCAACTCGCAAAGGAAATGTGGCAAAATTACACAACTACGGGGCAACTGGTTCCCAACCCTCATTTACCAATACTGTTGGTAAATATCCGCCCAATAATTAAGTAAAAATAATTGCCCAATATTGGTTAAAACACTTAAATGCTTAAATGGGTAATAATAGCCCAGAATAACGAATTTTTTTAACCAACCAACAATTACCCAACTAAATTTACCCAACATTTTAAGAGTGTAGAGCCCAAAAGTAGTAGTCTTGATTTTCAGACAATTGTACCGAATGGTCATACGTTTTATGCTGCGCAAAGGTTCAATCAGTTTAATCTTGGCCATCACAAGAAGTGGGTTATTGATGTAGACAAATGCTCATGTACCCTTTACAACTCTTTTCATGTATGTTATTACCAAAGATGTCAGTCAGTCACTCAATAGTGTCTGACAGTGAAGTCTAGCAAGTAAACGGGTTTCCTTGCATAATTTGAATATGAGGACACTGCTAACGTTTACATTTCACAGATAGGACATACATGACATATTCATAATTCCTTCAAAGTTCTACAGAATTTGAGGTTGGCTGCAAAAGCGACATAGTACCTTTAACTGGTAAAACAAAAAGAACTCATGTTTTATAAGGTAATTACTAAATATATTAATGTTTTGTAAACATACGCGCAAACGAATTTCATAGTTGTTGAAACAATGAGGAGAAAAGCTGATCACACCCCCCCCCTCTCTCTCACTCCCCTCCTTCTATTTCCCTCTTTAGTCCTGTTTTACTTCCTATCCACATATGACCCCACACACGCACACAAGCGCCACGCACCACGCGCACGCACACAATAATATCATCCCTCTTTCTCTTGTGTTCTGAAATGCGAGGGTTCAGGCAAACGTCAAAGAAGAAAAACAACAGAAAAATAGGACCTTAAAAAAAAAGTAGGGTACTACTGGTGTTCGAAAAGTAAAATATACAGAAGAGAGAGAATGAGGAATGAACGATGGACTTCAGAATGATGATGATCATCATCATCATGATAATATTGATATTGATTACAATATTGATAATCCAACAACAATAGCTCCTTGCACCCCTACTCACTCTCTCTCTCTTTCTCTTTCTCTCTCTCTATCTCGTTCTCTCTCTCTCTCTCTTTCTCTTTTCTCTTTCTCTTTCTCTAAATCACTACTTTTCTTTCATTCTGGAATATGATTATCAGTGATTTTGATCAATGAAGAATAGAGTACTGACATATATTATTATTTTGGTATGCTAACTCTTACAAATGAGTCATATAAATACATTCTGTGAATGCACATGAATAACCTGCATAAATGAATATATGAATAAATCTCTCCATAATAGATAAATTTGATTCAACTAAAATTGATTGGTCATGGCCAAAACAAATTAAGTTTCCGTAAAAATACAAACTATCCAATGAACATGTGAGATGAATATAATTAAGTAATATAATTAAGTAATAATTAATAAGTAATAACTGTGCATGGCTTTAAAAAAAAGAATAGAAAACACAACACAGTTATAGAGATGACAAAGCCTAGCAAAAATACATCGATAGGAAAACAAAATTATCATGCAGACAAAACGAGAGAGGACAAAACATGTGAGATGAGATGAGCACGGAGAAATACAGAAAAACAAAACAACCAGGTGTGAGAGAATATTTTGCAGAATAGGATTTAAAGAAGATAGAAATAAAATAGATGTAAAAGAGGGGGAAAGTTAGACAGGCAGAACAGGAATATTGTCCAAAAGGAGAGAAACAACATAAAAGATATAATGATTATAAAGGGGGTATTGTAATAACCAAATTATACATTCTTTTAAAAATCAACAAGCTTGTTCTCTACGCGTAATGAAGCAAGGACGAAAGACCGTTTGTTTGAGTCAAGCCCAAAGCATATACGGGGAGAGTGGAAAGCGACAATTTTACCCTTCGATATGAAGGAAGGAAAGTCGGACAAAGTAGAATGACAATAGATGAAGCAATCTCGTGTAATGGGCCGGAGGACGTTTGTCGCATTTATCTAAATGTTTGCCGGGAGAATTGAGCTGTAATTGAGTTTGTCCCTCAACATCAATATTTAATGAACGGAGACAAAATAAAACAAAAACTAAGACTAAATGGCTTTGCCAAACTCACACTTTCATGTTAAATTGACGTTGGGATGATCAAATATGAAAGGGGCTGTCATATATTTAAAAGGATGAGCTATAATGCAGCTTAAATTCTTTACTTCGAGAAGCTTCGCTTCCGTAAGGATTCAAGTACGAGGTATACCACAGGAATTCGCTTGGAAATGTTCGTACAAATAAAGGTTCGTTTAGACATGATAAAACACCGCCGCTGCGTCATATCTAAACAAAGCACAAATATAACTATAAACTATGGTAGAACCATAACATTAAAAAAAAAGGAGAATTCCTCCCACTTTGTAAACATTTGCGGGCATCACTATTTATTAATATACATAATAATAGGCCATGCAAACAAAAGCTTTGCAAAGGAATGGGTAGTTTTTAGGACAAAACTCATTTAACTACAATGATAGACAGATCAATGGTTTATTGATTAAAAACAAGAATACATAGACATCAATACGGCAAATCTGAATTGTGATGATTTTACAATGCTCAAAGTGTGTACTTAAATGATTAAATCCCCCATTGAAAAAAAAATAACAAAGAATAATCAATGAATTTTGTATCATATAACAATTTGTGTCGTGTACAGGTTCGATATTTGACACGGTATTGATATATACATAAAAATATAAGTATGTATATAGTTTTATTTACTCCCAACTGTAGGGAGTAAATTTACACCCCACAAGAAGGTGTAAATTTGCACCCTAAGGTTATGATTTCACTCCCTTTAAGGAGTGAAATTTGCACCCAATGGCGCTTAATTAACACCTTTTGGTCCCATTTTCATGAAAAATGGGTTCAAATTTACACTCGTGAGGTTGAATTTTATGCCCTATATGATCGATTCCACACCCTGTGGGGAGTAAATCTACACCCTTTTAATGCACAGCATCAACCAATCAATCATCCATGCTTCGTAATCACCTAACAATCACTGATTCTCACCCTTTTGTCTACGTTTCACAGCTCTGAAGAAATCAGACGAGAATCTCGAGTTATATGTCAAAAAGCTTTAATGCTTACCTAAACAACAGTTAGTGTGAACACCACACAAGTGCAGACTGTAAGAACCAACTTAAAGTTAGCTTCGGTGAGGCTGGCCTGGATGGACGTATCGGATCAAATGTAGTGGAAATACCTTTATACAAAACCCCTGCATTTCCGACTATCTTCCCTTTGGGTACACGTATAAGAAGGCAATTATGTACTAGTTAGTAAAACAACACTTCTGCTAATTTCATTATATTATCAAATATAACCTTCTGTACAACCCCTTATTCTTGTTCAGATAACTTTCAAACAAATAATGCCCAAATGAAATATGATAATTCCCCCAACATGACTAAAATATGTAAATTATACGAATTTTTCTTCATTTGGCAGTACCTATATCGACACGATGCGCCATTGCTGTAGCGCATGCGCATATACACTCACAACAGAAAAATGCTTTACTTCACTTGAACAATCAGAGCTCGTCTGACTAAAATAGGGTGTAAAATTACACCCCTTAATTGACTATTATGTACATCCTTGCGTATTTCCGTGTTTTACTCCTTAAAAGGTGTAATAGGGGGCGCCCTATTTTTTCCAATTTCGTTTTACTCCCCAAGAATACCTTTTATTTCTCTGTGTGTACATCTACATCTATATATATATATAAATAACACGCTTACATGCACCCTTACATACATATATGCATGCATACACTTATGTATACATTTGTTATCTGTTATACAGAACAGAGATATCCACTGCATGCTTAGACCAAATTTCAACCCAACAGAAACATCACTCTATGTACAAAAGGCACTCCTGTACTAATATATTGCT